TGACGTTGAAATCTTGAATTTTGTTTCTTAGTTTTAATGTGCGCATCCAGAACCGTGAGAGCTGAGCGGGTTATGCCATCGGCTTTAAGTGTGGCGACTGAGGCGTTGTTTACTGTATACGTCGGCCTGTTTTAGGTGCGCATCAGTATGAAATTGATTTTGGATGTTTCGTTTTATGAATGGAGGCACTTTATTAGGTCTAGAGTATTTTTCATAGCCTCTGAAGTTGAGTGTGTAAAACTAAGCATTTTATGGAATGTTGGCAAATGTCTATTTTATTGTTTGATGCAATTTATTTAAATTTGTCCTTACTCTAATTGCAGGTAAAGCAATTTAGCATACTTCCCAGTATTAATTTGAGAGGGTGTTCCTCCTCGTGGCTTGTTTCTGTCCTAGCTGGGAGGCTGAAAGGCACAATCTGTAGCAGGTAGACTAGTTCCTTAACCTTTTATGTATCAGATATTCTACTGAATTAGCAAGTAGCCCTTCCCACTCTTAAAATTAACTGTGCCAAGTCCTAATCATATCGTGTACATATTTGGAAATGGTGCTGTTTCAGAGCCTTGTGCATTTATACGCTAACAGTATATGAACACATTCATCTCCCCGGTAACTCCATTTTCTCTATGCACCATCCCCTGACGTGTCCAATTGTTTATGTCTAATGCTAAGATCAGAAAGGAGGAAACCCCAAGAGAGCAGTGTTTACTCACCTTAATTGGTCAGTTTCAGGCTTCCTAAATAGAAAATGGGAAACTGAAGCAATAACCTGAGTTCCAGAAGGTTCTACTCTGGGCTGCTGCCTTCAGATATACAGGTGTGCCAGAATAAACACTATTTAAAAACTCTAATAATTGAGATTGGGTACAAGTATCATACCTCGCTGGTGATGGTTCCACTCACACTGGTCTGCTTCCAGAACCTAAACTTAAGGCAAAAATTCGGAACTTCCTTCTTCCAGTACTCCAGTAAATCCATCACATTGAATGCTGCATGAACTATGGTACATGACTACCAACCATCAAGACAGAAGAGGCAAAGATGCAGGTGAATTAAGATAAACTCTAATCTAACACTAACACCACTATCTGAAAATACCAGCCTAACCTTGAGTTTAAGTATATAAAACTTCCAGTAGTCAGATTTAGCTAGAGTACTGGGAGTTAGACTGCCTTTCATATTAAACTCTGTAGCAAACTGATTTCCATGTAACAGGGTGATGTAAAAATACTGGATAGCTGTGTGCCCTATTGGTAAGAGGGAGGTGCTTCAAACCATAGATGGAGTTGGTGGGAAGACAAGCTTAGGAAGGAAGAAAATATCCCTGGTTGGTTATAGCCCCACAGAATTGCAGATTCCACTCAGCCTAGGCCTAAACCAAGTAATTAAAACCATGTAGTTCCTTGTCCCTTTGCTAGTAAATAAACCATTTGTTGTGGGGTGAAGTTTTTCAAGTGAACATAAATTCACGTTCTCTCCCTTAACTGGTCTACATTTTCCAAGTGAGCAACCTCAAAGGCAAAGTCAAGTCATTCAGCTCTGAATTGTGGTGGTTCCATCAGATACTTCCCGAGACCTGTGTGTGGTGCCAGTACATCAATAGTAAGAGCTGAACCACTGACATCTTACCTGAACCAGGGATGTTAAGATTTACATTCCTGTTCAGTGGTATTAAAGGGGCTCCAGAAAATGTCCTCAATATTAAGCAGCTGTCATATGAACAGTTGGGGAGACAGCTACCAGTAAAGTACTTCTAAGGAGCACTAAGACCTGAGTTCTAGCCCCAGCATCCACATAAAAATATGGAAATGGCGGTATGCCTATAATCCCAATGCTGACAAGGCACAGGCCAACCTTGCTAAATGGGGGAGCTTCAGGTCTGAGTGAAAAACCCTCAAGTTAGGTGAGCTCATGAAGACTGCGGTCTGAGGCCGACCGCCATGTACATGCACCTCCATCTGCAGTTTGGGTGAGTTTTTTAAGTCCAAAGGTGGCTGGTGGTTATGGTCTCAAGCTGCCTGGGGCTCACTGGCCAGGCAGTCTAGCTCCTGGTTTGGAGAATTCCAAATTCAAAGAAATACTTTGAACCAAAACAAAAAGTGGAGTGTGATTGAGGGTACCTGTTGACCTCTGGCCTCCATGTACTTGCACAAAGAATATGTATATAAAAAACGTAACCCATACCATATGTTCTCTACCCTACGTCCATTTACCAGCAATATTGAAAGTCTACAACATAAACAAAAAATAGTGATGTTTTTCTGTTAAGAGTTCTAGAGTAAACAAACAACCCCCCCCCCAAAAAAAATCCTTGGAACCAGGCATGTGGTGTACGCATTTATTCCTAGTACTCCGAGGCAGAGGGAGGCTAAGTAATCCTTGGAATGCAATGTAACACTTAGGTTTATAAAAATGTTTACAGTAGAGAGCCAAGTTTAGGGCCAGGGCTATAGCTCAGAGGTAGAGTGCTTGTCTAGAATGCACAAAACCCTAAGATCAATACCCATTATTAAAGGGAAGAAAATGAAACTCAACCCAAAGTTTAATATAAAACTGTGACAAGGTTGGCTTGTAAGAATGCACTGTGTATCTGGCTAAACCACCCTGTAATAGCTTCTCCATGGGCAGAGGCACAGGCTGTGTTATGCTTTAAGCCTGTCTATCCAAACTTGTTAATTCTAATTTTTTTTTTTTTTACCTTTTTGTACTTTGTTTTTCCTACAAAGTCCTTTTCAGAAGTTAATCGCTCTGATTAGAACTTTTGTCAGATATATTAAACCAAAATAATGTATTTCAAAACTATCAGAAATGTATTTCAGGTTAATTTTGTTGTCTAAACCTCTTGGTGAGAACATTCCTCCAGTGTGTCTCATGGTTCTATTATAACTTAGCCAAAAATGTCTTTGGGAAAAAACACAACAGATGGAGATACAGTTTTTGAGCCTGGGTCTCACCAGCTAAAGCTGACCTGTAAAATCCAGTATCCTTCCAACTCACCCAACAAAGTTCTGAGATTACTTGCCATGTGGTACTGGTGGTTCTTGACTATATCCCACTCACAGGTTCCAACCCCTGGCTGGTTGGCACTGCGTGGACAAGTGTGATACAGACCTGAGTGTAGTGTCCTTCTTAGACTTTCAAGTACAGCTATAGAAGCTATAAGGTTCCACTGTTTACGACTGCAAAAGTCACGGGCTCACCTGGAGATTAGTCAGATTACCCTGTTTGATGTCTGGAGGATGCTCTGATAGTGGGATCCCATGAGCCCTCAAAGCAACAGCATAGATACTTCTGCCCTACCCTGTTCTGTGTTCTCTTTGCGGGGAGGGGTAAGGCTGAAAATGCCTGGAAACCCAGCTGAGCTGCAATGGTAGATGTCTGCAGGATAATCTTGCAACCTGCTCCCCCACACCTTGTGCTGATTAAAAGAAACTTGCTGGGGATGATCTGTGGCATCACATTAGTGTCTGGCTCACTAGTAAAAGCATACAGTACAGGTTACTACCTCAAATATAACCAATGGGCTGTAAATACTTGTTATGATTAAGTCCTTCCATGTTTGAAATTCAGTCCTTGGTAGCACCATACAAAAGCACCTGATTAAGTAGAAAAGCATCAGTACTCCCTCCTCTGGCCTGACAGCCGTTAACAGTTAAAAAAAAAAAAAAAAAAAAAAAAAAACCTTAAACTACTACCTTTATAAACTGTAAAACCTAGACCCACTAAAAGTTTGTCACAAAAAAATACCCTACAAGTCTGTTGGTTTTTTGGTTTTTTTTTTTTTTTCCTCCTTTCCCCTAATTCCAGATGAAACTCAAGAAGGTGGTAACAGTGTTTCCATGAATGACAAGAGCACTTCACAAACTTGCTAGCTGTGTTACTATTAGGTGTTCTGAACAGCACTGATAAAATCCACAAAAACCTCAACTGAATACACAGAATATAGCACCATTAACAAATCAACACTAACGCCAATTATGCAAGTATTTTATTTATCACTGAAGAAAAAACACAGCAGCAAGTTCTGTGTTGGCTTCAATAAAACCAAATGGTTACTCTTTAACACAGCTACTACACTCCAAAATTGAAGTCAACACAGTCATCACTACAAATTACTTGTTGAAATAATCTATCCTGAAGAAAGAAAATTAGGAAAAAGAATTTAAACAATTCCTCCAAACCACACATTTATAAATATTGTCATATTTAAAAGGCTTGAAAGGCATGAATTAGTGGAAAGCAGTTTTCTTTTGGCAACAGAAAAAAAGAAACAGCAACAGTTTACCAAATGCTCTAGGAATCCAGAGCTGTACTGCTCTGGATATGCTCTTGAGCAGTGTTGTCATGATGACTACAAAATGCTTTATACTCACCTCTCTCTACAGAAAACCCCATTGCAACCAGTGTTTGCAATGTCTACTACACTGGTCAGAAGCTATAAAACTGCCTAAATGTAGTTAATAGTAAATACCTAAGAAGGTATGTTCCCACTAATGATGGGAAAGCTGTCAGACCCATTGGCTTAAAGGGTTTTCAAATATTTTAACAGAACCTTACCTTCAAATTAATATCTGATATTTTAGAAACAAAACAAAACAAAAAGATCAATTGTATACCAAGATATAGGTGTTAACACCTGAAGGGTTCATTTTTATTTTTTAGGTTTTTTTTTAAACAAATGATTGATGAAATAATGCAACACCTTAAATTCCAGAAAATGGAATGGTTTTTCAACCTCCTGTGAATACAGTGCATGATCAATCTATTATATATGATTAATACAAGTTCATGCTTTTTGTGTTATGGTGAGACAACATTAAAGAATTCAATTTAGACTGGGTGAAGCACAAGTATAATAATCCTTGAATGTGATCAAACCTATGTAGACACAAGTTTGACTCCATCATTGTTGGGACTCAACGTCGTACTGTGGTCCATCCATCTTCATCAGTTTCATTCTTAGTACGACGAAGGGACTCCCTATCTTTCTCTGCTCTCCAGGACGATTTCTCTTTCTCACCTTCTCGTTCTCTCTCTCTCTCTCTTGAAAGAACTGGGGGAGGAACACGACGAGGTAAATCCCGATCTTCAGTCCGGTCATCTTTCCTGTCATCAGCTCGTCTCCAAGAGCTTGCTAGAAAAGTTAAAAAAAAAAATTGAAATGTTAAGCTTGAACTATTTTACTGATTCAAAATAAACAAGTGAAACTAAAGAAATGCTCGATTTAAACTACTGAAATAAATCAGCAATGCAGAATCCTACTAAAAGTCCACATTTTATTTATTTTGTGTCATTTAAGATATGAACTTGCACCAGACGGTATAGAGGCGCACGCCTTTAACCCCAGCACTCAGAGACAGAGGCAGGTGGATCTCTGTGCGTTCGAGACCAGTCTGGTCTACAAGAGCTAGTTCCAGGACAGCCTCCAAAGCCACAGAGAAACCCTGTTTCAAAAAAACCAAAAAATTAAAAATTTGCAAGCAAGCAAAAATCCTTGGCATGGAAATAGATAAATAGTTATAAACCAAACACAAGATAAAAAAAAAATCAGAATAAACAAGTAGAAAGAATTTTTGGCTCTTGAATTTTATCAAATGAGTCATAAGATGTGAAATTTTAAATTATGGTTTTAATAACTCTTTGGATCCTGCCAAGCAAACTATTAAAAGCATGTAAGGAAAACACTTAGGTACTATGGACATCTTAACCTCACTAGAAGTTTTTTTGGTTTTTTTGTTGTTGTTGTTGGGGTTTTTTGGTGTTGAGACAGGGTTTCTCTCTGTAGCTTTGGAGCCTATCCTGGCACTAGCTCTGGAAACCAGGCTGGCCTCAAACTCAAGAGATCCGCCTGCCTCTGCCTCCCAGTGCTAGGATTAAGGTGTGCACTACCAACGCCCTGCTCACTAGAAGTATTAAAAAAAAAAAAAAAATGTTGCCAGGTGGTAGTGGCATTCGCCTTTAATCCCAGCACTAGGAAGGCAGACAAATCTGAAGTTGAGACCAGCCCAGACTATAGAGTGAGTTCTGAGACAGCCAGGGCAGAGAGACCCTGTCTTAAAAAAATTCAAAAGTAAGTAAATATACTTTAAAAGATCGTCTATATGTATGTATTTATGGATGCGAGGTAGTGGAGGTCATTTAACAACTTTCAGGGAGTGAGTTCTTTTTCTACCATGTGGGTCATCAGCACTGAAATCAAGCTGCCAAGCAAGAAAGAGCCTTTACTCACTGAGTCATCTCACCAGCCCTGAATTATCTCATTTACACTCTTGTGTTCACACACTAAGACCTTACATAATAAATACTGTTTCTCCATTTTCATTATCAGTTTCTGCTACTTATCATTTAGTCCATTGCTGCGCTTTCCTTACAGGAGCTTCCAACCTCATAACTAAGTACACTGAATTTATTCTTATTTTTGATGCTCACATAAATCTAAAAGATAATTATATAAAGCCCAAACCGTGCCACAGAACTGTTGCCCAACATTCCAACAACCAAAATGTACCTTCTTCTCGCTCTGATCTGAGGGGAGGTCCTCTCCGGTCTCTATCATCTCTTAAATCCCTTCTTTCTCTCAGGTCTCTCAGATCACGTCGATCATCTCTTTCCCGACGTCGGTCATCCCTGTCTCTATCATCACGGCGACTTGAATCTCTCCAGCTTGAAGATTCTTCTGCTGGTCCTCTTCTCCAGCCACCTTCATCCCTGTAACCATTTAAAGTAACAAAGTTCAGTTATTGATAGACTACATGGGTAACTGTAAGCAACACACCAGCCTAGCAGTTTGAGGTCAGCCTGGTCTACAGAGTTCCAGGACAGCCAGGGCTTCACAGAGAAACCCTGTCTCAAAAAAAAAACAAAATAAAAAAGGGGGAAGGGGGAGCACAACACACCAAATCCAGTTTATTAATCTAAATTTAAACTCCTATTACCTCAATCTCAATCTGGTCTCTCAGGCATAGAGCAAACAAGGCACCTAGACTAATCACCTGTAGCTACTTAACTAAAGATCCTACAATAGCAAGACCTAGCTCACTAGCCACATGAAACTGCTGGCTGCCATGCTAGACAGGACACAGAGAACTTTTGACACCAGATTTGCTAGTGGCAAAGCCATTATAACAAAGAGAACAAGCCAAGACTTTTAGCACTAATAAAAACCAGGTGGGTTGTCAACTGACTATAAATTTCAGCATAAGAGGGTTGGATAAAAATTGAATTTCAGGTCATCCTGAGCTATACAGAAAGATATTATCTTCTCAAAAACAAACGATAATTTAAGGACAGTTAAGAAAACAGGAGTGGTAGACACCTAGACAGGTTCCATTACCAGTTATGCAACCTTCAGCAGCCAATAGGCTAAGCCCCTCTCCCCATGTTCTCACTTTCTAGATATTTTGGGAAAGGCCTGGGAGAGCTAATCAATCATACTCTAATGTGTATCTAAATGGTTGAGTGAGGACAGAACATTACTTCTCAGAAGTGATTTGGAATGCACAGCAGAGTGTGAGAGAAGCCCATTAGAAGTAAGTCATTCCAACCTGGGTCTTCTGAAGCGATCCTCCCGGTCCCCATCTCTGTCTCGGTCCCTGTCTCTTTCAGGGTCCTTGTCCTCCTCTCGATCTTGACTGTCTCTATCCCTCTCTTTGTCTCTATCCCAGTCACGTTCTTCTGATGGTCTTGATTCTCGAGGTGGACCCCAACTCTCTTCTCTAGCCTTTTCTTTCTCTCTCCATCCACCTATTTTATAAAAAGAAGAATTTCATTTTTAACAGATTAGCAATTTTTTGTTTGTGTGGTGCTGGGAATTTAACACAAAGCCTTATGCATGCTAGGCAAGTGCTCTATCAACTCAGTCATGTCCAGCCTTTACAAAGCCATCTTAGCATTAATTCATCATCCTAAACAAATTGAAGATACCCCTATTCCGTTAAGAAAATAAAACAAAAAACTAAACCCAGATATATCCATGCATGGCTGGTCAGTAACCATTTTTCTGAATTATGTAGCTATAGGAAGCTTAAACAGTCAGGATTAATGTTTCATAAAATCAGAGATTATCAATTATTTCTTATAACATTGCCAATATAAAAATCTGTTCTAATTTTACTACAGACTACTCAGTTAAGCAGAAAACTTGAGTCTCCTGGGAGTGACCACCCCAATTATGAATTTATACTCTGTAACATTTTATCAGTGACTTCCCTTTTCCTGTCCTGTGTCATCACCCCACCATCCAGTCATAAAACAAGGATAAATGCTTTGATTCTGTGCAGTGTTTCACATGAAGCAGGAAGAAGCCAAAGCAAGCTAAGTTCTTACTGGTGTATTATAGCTATCACTGTCCTGACTTTCCTATCAACAAGTGCCAAATTACAGACTTAAATACCATTTATATTAACTTGTTTAATCCTTGCCATAATTAAGTCAATCCTAATTATTGTCAGATTCTTGAATTTCCCCCCCAAAAGCCAAGGTCTCCTTATGTAGCCCTGACTGTCCTAGAATTTGCTATGGAGACCTTGCTGGCCTTGAACACAGAGATCCTGCTGCCTCTGCCTCCATAGTGCTGAGATTAAAAGTGTGTGCCATCACACACAGCCCACTTACATACACCTATAATTCCAAGTTAATACTTGTGGTAATTTTGTAATAAGTAAATTCAGAGAGAATAAAGTTGTCTCCTGACATATGTGATGCCAGCTCAAGTTGGTAGCACTCTGCCTCCCAGAATCAGCTTTTTAAACTATAAAAAGTATCCTATTACAGGACTGTTTATTTAGTACTGTGATCTTTGCTTGTTGCTCCACTTTTCAATTGACCCAAGCACAGGCTTAAGTACTGTCTCTTAAACTTACGAGGAAAACACATGTTAGACAAACTTTCTGGCCATTCACATCAAGAGACAAATTATATGTTGACGGATGGCAGAATAAACAGAAAGGCACCTAAGCTTGTATTTCTTGTAGGATTCCTTAGTACTCCTGACAACTTTTGAGGGCACAACCATATTGACTAAGAACCCCAATTTACACAAGGCATGGAAGTCAACTTGTCCTAAGGTCACATAGTTAAACAGTGGAAATATGGCCAAGACCAAAAAAATAAATCACAGCTAGTAAAAGCAAAAAAGGGTGCTAATTAGATCTGAACTCAGGAAGGATTATTGTGGATGCTGCAAAAAAGAACTGGGAGTGGGAAAAAATAGCAGAAACCAGAGTTCAGAGCAGACTCAATTAGAATCAGGAGGAAAACAAAAGTGGGTGGATTTAAGAACAATCAAAGGGCAGACTTCGGGGCTGGAAAGGTGTGTCAGTGATTAACAACAGCACATACTGTTCTTGTAGTTCAATGCCCTTTTACCATGTCAGGTGGCTCTAACTGCCTTCACTATCTCCAGGAGATTTGATGCCTATGGCCTCCAAGGACACCTGCATTCATTCACATGTACACACACACACATACCCACACACAGGTATGCACATACATGTCATTTTAAAATAATGAATCAAACAAACAAACAAAAAAAAGAGCTAAACTAAATGACAGACTTACCACAGGCTAAAACAGAAAGCAGAGAACTCATAAATTAAGATATTTAAGATGGTGGTCACAGAGCAGGTATTTATTTGGAGAGGAGGAAACAGTAAGTTTAAGTGTCAAGTGAAGCACTCTCAGAGTAGAGTTGACTAGAAGAACAAAATTGGGATCCTCAATAGGATCCCATTGGTGGACCGTTGTTTTAACAAATATTTAATATTTTTCATTTAAAAGTCACTGCATAGGCACTCAAGGAAAAAAACTACCTACATAAAAAAATAAAGAATACAGTACAACTGTCATGTAGCCATACAATTTCATTTTTTACACAAAAAACAGCATTCTGCAGGGCGTTGGTGGTGCAGGCCTTTAATCCCAGCACTCGGGAGGCAGAAGCAGGTAGATCTCTGAGTCTGAGTGCCAGGATAGGCTCCAAAGCTACACAAAGAAACCCTGTATGGGGTGGGGCAGGGGGAGGGGGGGATAGGGCAGGATTCCATAAAGCATCTAATTTTCTAAATATTAAATCTTACCTGGCTTGACGAATGGTCTCCAAGGGCCAGGTCTTGCATCATCACCTCGCCTGGGAATCCTATCATCATCCATATTTCTCCAAGGCCCCCGGTCATCATCTGCACCTATCCTGGGAATTCTATCATCATCAGCATTCCTCCAAGGTCCTCGGTCATCATCCAACCCTCGCCTGGGACCCAGTCATCATCCATGCACCTCCTGGAACCCCGGCCATCATCAGCATTATGCGAGGATGGCCGTTCATCATCAGCACCTCCTCATCTCGGCCCCCGCTCCTCATCCATCCCACGTCTAGGTCCTCTGTCCTCATCTGCTGTACGCCAGCATCCTCTGTCATCATCCAGTCCCCGTCTGGGTGGTCTGTCATCATCTGTGTGACACCAGCTTCCCCTATCATCTGTCGTCATCTGCATTACGCCAGGATGGACGGTCATCATCTGTTCCTCTACGAGAAAATCTATCTTCATCGGGACCACGCCTAGGCCCTCTGTCATCATCCAGGCCACGCCTGGGGATTCGATCATCATCTGGTCTAAGAGAAGATTCTCTCTCTTCATCATCCCCCAAGCGTCTCAGGCGGTCTTCATCTCTCCTGTGAGGTCTCTCATCATCCCGAGTCTCTCCTCGTCTCCACTCCCTAAAGAGCAACAAGTTACAAGCTTTACAAGCTAATTTTTCACCAGGTGGTGGTGGCACATGCCTTTAACCCCAGCACTCGGGAGGCAGAGGGGGCGGATCTCTGGGAGTTTGAGACCAGCCTCATCTACAAGAGCTAGTTCCAGGACAGTCTTGAAAACCACAGAGAAACCCTGTCTCGAAAAAGCAAAAAAAAAAAAAAAAAAAAAAAAAAAAAAAAAAACAAAAGCAAATTTTTCAGAAACCATATGGATCCTTGATTTCACTCATTCTTACAAATCATTAAGTCTAAATTCATTCAGTGTCATCCTTTAAAAATGTTTTCCAAGCCGGGAGTTGGTGGTGCATGCCTTTAATCCCAGCACTCGGGAGGCAGAGGCAGGTGGATCTCTGTGAGTTCGAGGTCTGGTCTCCAGAGCGAGTGCCAGGATAGACTCCAAAGCTACACAAAGAAACCCTGTCTCTAAAAAACCAAAAAAAATCTTTTCCAAATAAAAATTATACAAAATCTAGTACCTTAAATATACTAACATTAGACAACAGCCTACAATTACCTATTGCTTCCCAAGAGGACTTGCAAAGTTCTTTACGTTTTACAATGAGCTTTTCTCTAAACAATTTCTACATAAAAACACACTTCCTACCACTAGTAATAACCATAAAAAACAGCTTAAAAACTGAGCATGTAGCTATATTACAACTTCTAGGAGAAGTTGTACAACAAGGTTCTATCTCTAATACTACTAAAAAAGTTTTTTAAAATAATGTTCAGTCGAGCATTGGTGGCTCATGCCTTTAATCCCAGCACTGGGGTGGCAGAGGCAGGCAGATCTTTGAGAGTTCAAGGCCAGCCTTGTCTACAAAGCAAGTTCCAGGACAACCTCCAAAGCAATACAGAGAAAGGCTGTCATGAGTGAATGAATGTTCTGCCATTAGAAAAATGACATGGACAGGTATTTTTGTTTGTTTGTTTGTTTGTTTTTGGGGGGTGTCTCTGTGTAGCCCTAGCATCCTAGATTTAACTCGCCTGCCTGTCTCATGAGTGCTGAGATAAAGTGTGTCCCACCACAACATAGCATATTTCATTCTTACTCTTTAAACTCAATGTTGTTGGAATCTGATGGATGTATTTCTCGGATTTGTATGGGTCAGTCATCAGAGCGATGTTGAAGGGGAGAAGGGGAGAACCTACAAAGTCTGATTAACAGTAAAACCAGATATGGTGGCACAAGCTTTTATATATAACAATAGGGAGGTCAAGATAATATTGGGAGTTCAAGGTCATCTTAAACCTACACAGGACCCTGACCTTTGCTCAAATAACAGGTGGATCTGCATACCCTCCTATACTTAAAATCTGATTTTAAAATCAGGATACCAAGACCCAAGACTGTTCCCATGAATCCACTTACTTCTCTGGCGGGCCTCTCCTCCACTCAGAGTCAGCTTCTGGCCCTTTCCTCCATGTACCTTCTGAATCTCTGTCTCCCCACCGAGAGTCCTGCACCCACAAAGCAAAGAGGCATCATTGTAATAAAAGTTATCTATCACTCAAGCATTCCATTCTTTCATTAGACCCCAAGATCCTAAAATAAAAGTCTCTGGTTGAGGGAGGCTACGCAACCTTTTCACTGTGAAGCCAGTCTTGGCTGTCTAAGACCTGTCCTTCCACAAAAATAAAAAAACCAGGCACTGGAAGAGCTCAGTGGTTAAGTACATGTACCGCTCTTCCTGAGGATTAGAGTTGAGTTCCCAGCAAGAGATGCCTCACAAGTTTATCTGTAACTCCAGGTCCAGTGAATCCAACAAGTTGGTGAGCACCTGCACTCATGTGCACACACCCACATGCACATGATTAAAAATACATTTAAAAAAATGGAAAAATATAATCAGCAACCAGGCAGTGTTTAAGGGGCAAAGCAGTCGCTCAGAGTGGCTAAAACACAAGCTGACAGCTGAAACTGGTGAAAAGGCCTCACCAAGTATGTTTGCCTTTGGCTCTTAGTAATGAGTATGAACCAAAGGAAGCTGAGACAGAAGAACAGATTCAAGGGTCATATATGCTGCCATTATGAAAACTGAAACAGGTCTGAAAGATGATGATTGGGAGAACCAGATTAAGGAATCAGAAGTGACATACAGGATCATTAAAACCGAGCTATGATGACAGTGGACACATGGGTAACAGACCACAATCAGAATTCACAAGTCAGTTTTGTATGTAGCAATATCACCTAGGCTCCTGGTTTTATTATACTGCATATTCTGAATGAGGTTGAGATGGACAAAATTATCTCTCCCAAATGATAGAGACACTATGAACACAAACAGATCTTTGTATCTAAGTAGTCAGAGAATGTGAAGTAGTTAATCAAGCCACAATATTACAAAAGAAAATTCACTGGTGAATCTTCATGTAATTAAAACAGAATACACAGCTGGTGGGAAGACAGCTCAGTAGTATGGGACTTGCCAGATGAAGAGTCCAGATTCCCTCTCCAGCACTAAAGAAAAAAAAAAAAAAAAGAGGATAACCTCTGTGCTCACCTTCCTAGAAAGTGGGTCATCACCAAGCCTCCTCTCTTCCTCTCTGCGCCGTTCTCTTTCTTCAATTTCTAGCTCCCTCTGCCGTTTTTTCCTTTCTACTTCTTCCAGTTTCTTGACTCTCTCCTGATATTCTCTGAGTTCCTCCTCCCGTTTTGCTCTCTCAGCACGCTCTCTTTCTTCTCGCTCTATGAAATTGTCAGGTTACTCCAATGTGCTTCCCACCCACACTGGTATAAAGCAGTACATGCAGAATAGAGGTAAATCTGTTTAAAAGGCAGGCTGGAGAGATGGCTCAGACTGCTCTTCCAGAGAAGCCAGGTTCAATTCCCAGCACCCACATGGTGGCTCACAGCTGTCTGTAACTCCAGGATCTCACAGACAATACTTACAGGCAAAAAAAAAAAAAAAAAAAAACACAAAAACCACCAAAGCACATAAAATAATAAAGCTTTAGAAGGCAAGAATATTAAAACAAGCCAGGTGATGGTGCTGCATGACTTTAATCCCATCACTTGGGAGGCAGAGGCAGGCAGATCTCTTGAGTTTGAGGCCAGCCTGGCCTATACTCAGTGAGTTCCAGGACAGCTAGAGATATACAGAAAAATCCCTTCTTAAAACAAAACAAAAGATTATTAGAACAAGGCCAGCATGATGGCTCAGTAGGTAAAAACATTTACACATAAGCTAACTATATATATTTAATCCTCAGAACCTACCGAAAAATTGGAGAAAACCTGACTTCTTAAATTTGACCTCTGACCGTGTACCTGCCCCACATATCATACACACCCATTAATGAAAAAAAATTTAATAAAATCTAAAATAGCTGGCAATCAACAAATAACAGTTGAGATTCAAGAAACAAGTAGTTTATACAATGATTTAGGATGACACTAAAACCCAGTCATAGTTTTTGTTCAATTGACACAAATCTAGACATACTTGGAGAAAAGAGTATTGACCTAGAAACTGCCTCCATCAGACTGGCCTGTGTGCATGTCTGTGGGGACATTTTCTTGATTGCTGTGGGAGGGTTCACTGTGGACAATACCATTATCCCTGGGCAGGTATGCCTGAACTATATAAGAAAGTTAGCTGAGCAAGCGATAGGAAGTGAGCCAGGAAGCAGCTCTCCTCCATGGTCTCTGATTCAGTTTGTCTCCAGGTTCCTTGAGCCCCATGGGAGAATCTCTCACTTCCCTCAATGATAGACTGTGATATGAAATCCAAATAAATCATCTCTTCACCCCAGTCTTCTTTTGGTTAGTGTTTTATCACAGCAACAGAAACCAAACTAGAACAAATTCTTAAGTGTGTATTTGGGATATCAACTATAGAACGACTATGTAATAAATAGGATACTAAAACAACAGGAAAAGAAGTATAAAATTGTATACAGGTTGACAGAGGTAACAGCACCTAAACATATAATGCATTAAGTTATCTGTATTGTCAAGAGACCAATTATACAGATTACTTTGTTTTCTAAATAAGATTATAAAATATAGCATCTGTCACCAGGCAGCTTATCTAAATGGTCACCTTTTAGCATCTGTTCTTCTGCTCTCCTCTGCTCTTCCTCTTCCTTTTCTCTGTAGTAAGTTATTTTACGTTCTTCTTTTCGCTGCCTTTTGCGTTCTTCCAGGCGATTATGCCTTTCTTCTGCTAACCGCTCTTCAAACTGTTTCAGTTTTTCCTGTGAATTGAAGAGTTATATCGTCCCAAAGGTCAATTTTGTCCGAAATATAAACCAGGAATACACTTTTACACTTGTAAGCTCACAAGATATGAAAGCCATAAAAGTGGCCACCAAGTAAATATAAAAGCAGCCTCTCTTAAGGGGTAGAGAAATTTTATCAGTGTGTTGAGTGTCTAAAATATTGACTTACACACTGAATCTACAGTGACTTACACACTGATCTATACACTAGAACTGAGAGCAGGGTACTCTGCCTGGCACATCTGCAATCGTAGGTTCAACTCTGAGTTCTACTCCCTACCTCAAAAAAAGAAAAAACCCTAGTCACATTTTATTCGTAATAAAGAAAATGACTAAGAACTTTAACAAAACATTTTTTTTTTTTTTGAGACAGGCTGTCTCCATAGTCACGACTACCTTGGAACTCACTATGTATACCAAGTTGGCCTCTAACTCAAGAGATCTGTCTGCCTGCCTGCCTCTGCTTCCCCAAGTGCTAGGATTAAAAGTGTACACTACCATGCCAGCCCTGATCTAGTTCATTTCTGTATCAATTAGTAAATACACAACTTAAAAGCACACATGGATCTGGAGCCATGTGGTGTACCCCCAAAATCCCACCCCCTTCAAGATAGGTCAGTGTTAAACCACACACAGCAAAACAAACTGACCTGACCCCATCCCAAAAACCCACACCTCAAATGAGAAAAAAGTAACTTTCATCTTTGAAATATTTCTTGAGATGATTTAAATATCTCCTGACTCTTCCTACTGATATACTGAATAATTGTCTTCAATGTCTGCCAATGTGTTAAGGGAGGACCCTGCCCCCTCCAAAAACAACCTAAAAGCTCACAAATTAACAGGAATCTCACCTCATAGACAGACTGCCGGGCAGCTTTGAGTCGCATCACAAATAGATCTCTATCTTCCAACATTCGTGACATACGATTCTTATGTTCGAGAGCCTTTTCTCGCTCTAGCTGCATTGTGGTAATCTGGAAGTATACAACACAAGGTTAATCTCCATAGCATTTGTTTTCCTAATTTACTCCCAAAAGATCCTAACAGACATTCTGTAAAACTGAGAAGTTGCTCCTTTGCCATTGTATCTTATGACAACAGCATCCCAATAGATCTCCAAAACAAGAGGTTAGTCCTAGAACATTAATAAAGAGGTTTTGAGCAAAATTATTTGATTTTACTGAAAGTTAAAGTAGAATGTCAGATTTTCTTCTCAGCCCTATGGAAACACAGAAGCCTCCAAATTGTTGCGTTGTTTTATCTGCAGCATTTTCTACTTCTACTAAATTTGAACACTTATATTTGGGGAGAATTATCACAAAAAAGCCCAACTTATCCTTTATAAAATAGGAATAACTGACAACACAAGGCCTATAACTCTCCAGATAATAGACTCTGAGGCCGAAGGTGCCACAGGCACCCACAGGGATGCCCTTTATCTCGTTTATATGCACACAAGGCCTGAGACTCATATTTTCATGTCAAATCTCTATTGTCAACATTTCTTTTTCCACCAAGCTATTATATTAGTAAGCAGCTGTTAACCACAATTTCTAGTAAATAAATTTGAAAACTGTATCACTGGCAGACTTGCAACTTAGTTTACAGTATATGATACCATAATGTAAAGCTTACTCTTTCTTCTTCTTGTTGTTCCCACAGGTCCATGTCTTTAATCCTTTGTTCCTCGTAAGCACTCTTTATCAAAGGAATTTCCTCCAAACGCTTAGCTCTTTCAAAATAGTCAATCTGAATGGTACAAAAACAATGCCATTTTACAAAATAACTTTTGTTTTATTACATTTTTAGAGACAGGGTTTCTCTATGTATCCCTGGCTGTCTTGGAACTAGACTAGCCTCAAATTCGGAGATCTGCCTGCTTCTGCCTCCCAAGTGCAAGGATTAAAGGTGTCTACCTCCACAGCCCAACCAAAATAACTCTAACTCATGTGAAAAGAATAGCAATCCCACTAGGCAGGACATCAGTTTGAGGGCAATATGGAGACTTTTTATTAAAATTAATTTAAAAAAATGCATCTTCTCATTCACCTTCTTTTCTTGATTCTTCAGGCGTTCCTGAAGTTCCTTCTTTTCTTTTTCCAGTTGTTCAACCTGTTTGGCCATGATGAAATCTGGATCGAGTTCTTCAAGGTCCTAATGGCAATAAAAAGGCAGAATTGTCATCACAAACATTTTAGTATATATTAGAGAAAGGATTTTCCTCTATAGTCCTGGCTGTCCTAGAATTCACTATGTAGACCAGGCTGGCCTTGAACTCAGAGATCCACCAGCCTCTGCCTCCCGAGTGCTACAAAGACAAGGCCACAACTCCTGGCTACAATTATTTTTTTAAAGATTAATTTTAGTTATGGGGGAAGGGTATATGTGCACAAGTACAGGTGCCTGAATGTCGGATCCAGCTGGAGCTAGAATAAGAGGTGGTTGTAAACCACTTGATGTGGGTTCTGGGAACTGAACTTGGGTCCTCTGAAGAAAAAGCAGTCCATGCTCTTAACCACCAAGCCATCTCTCCAGGCCACAAATTAAAGACAAATAAGATTAACAGTCATCTGAGCTCACTGCTTTCTAGAACCAAATCCTACATTTCTTTAAATGGGTATTCAAACATCAAAATCAGCCCAAAGGCAGCTCAAGAGTAAACAAACTCCTGATGGCTGATGAGCTACGTACTTCAATGTCGATATCTTTAAATGCTTTGGCACCCAGTTCTGTCTTCTTGATCTGCTCTAACCGCTCCCGAACAGTCTTCTTTTTGATTTGCTCGTGTTCCTGAAGGATCCGTTCCTTCTCTCGCTCTTTTGCCTCCTGGCGCAGCCTCTCTTCTTCAGCTTTCCGTACTTTCTGAAGCTCCGCTTCCCTCTGCTCCAGTTCTTCTTTCTCACGCTGGATATTCAGACTCTCAAGACGCTCTTTCCTTTCCTCAATTGTCTGTCGACGAGCCAGAATCCGCTGATGTTCTTTTCGTGAATTTTTAAGATATGCAGTAACTGCCAACTGATGCTGTTCTTCTTTCTCTTGCTTCAAAACAAAAAACAAACAAAACAAAAAAAAAGAAAAAAAAGTGCATTTTATAGTGATTATAAATATACCCTGGTATTAGACAGTAGTAGTAAAAATAATTGTGAAATGCTAGCTTTCCATAAATACGTGAACTTAGTAATAGATAATGTTCTAGTACCAAGTACTGTGGCACTACAGTTATTCAGTCTGTAACTAGCAATGACACGAGCTAAAATACTATTTGCCAGTTTGTTTTTGTTCTGAGGACCAAATCTATTGTATCAAGCCAATACTAACAGAGTTCACCAACAATAATTTAGCAAGAACTCAATCATATGCTAACAACTGGGTCAAGGTGTTGGTATATGCTTGATATATGCAGTCTGCAGTTTAATGTAACAATAACTATTATTACCCACTGAAAGGCATTTCAACGACTTACCTGTCTTGACAAAATCGTCTCACCCACTAGTGAACAAGAAATCATGAAGTCTTTTCCACAAATTTCATCTCAAACAATATTACGAAAAATATAAGTCCCTCAAAACTTTTGTAGCTCATACCCTTCAAGACACATACCAGAATGTGAGCAGGCTTGATGACTTCAAGTGCTTTTGCAAGTACTGAGGACATAGCTGTGAGTTGATTTCTTATTTGTTCTGATGGCATGCTTTGCAGATGAGGACCAATTGGGGCATCTTCTCGAGTTGCATAATTCAAGTCTGATCCAAAACTCAGAGTCCGAGAAGTATGATCAATACGAACCTTAGAAAATTAAATTATCAGGAACCAAGTCTATATTTACAACTCCATTTGAGAAGGAAATTATCAATCCAAAGTTAATAGAAAAGTAATGAGAATTTGCTTAATAGAGTTTTTTAAAGGTCTTTCTAGTTCTCAAAGACCTTCTAACCTGCCACCAGTGCCCACTTATAGCACATACCTGCAGGTCACAGTGCCTGGCTGCATCTACTATGGCCCGTTCCAGTTGGAAAGCATCAACAAAAGGAACCAGAGAAGTCAAACGAGAAAATTCAATGCTCTGATAAATCTGTGCCACCTGCACAAAAAAACACAGGGTTGATAATAACAGCTACTATTTAGTCACATTTTTTAACGTTCAATTTCATGGCAGCTAGAGGAAGCAGAAATTATGCTCATTGTTTAGAAAGGGGAAAAAACTGAAGTTCATACAAATCAGCATAGCAGCATATTATTGGAACTGGAATTTCAATCCAAGGCTCCAAATCATATGCTATCATTATGCATAACCATCTTCTGAATTCTGTTTCATAAATCAGAAACCTAAATGGCCACATATTTATAATAGGTAAAGGCCTACTACTTACCTAATATAAATATTTCTAATCTTTATTTTTTTGTCTGAAGGAGACTGGCAGCATTACTATATACAGTTACTCTGCTAATTAACCTTCAAGTATTTATATAGCACATAAGAAATAACACTGCTCACATATTCAAAAGAAAGCAGGTCAATGAAATGTGCAAACACATCATTAACACTCCCTCAGTAAATGAAAATAGGAAAACTCAGCAACAGGCACAGTGATGCACACCTTTAATCTTAGCATTTGGAAGGCAGAAGTAGGCCAATCTCTGTGATTTCAAAGCCAGCCTGGTCTACATATCGAGTTTCAGAGTAGCCAGAGCAAACAGTGAGACCCTATGGGAGGGAGGGGGGCTGAGGTCAAAGACAACCCAGTACCTAAGGAAAACTCAGTATTTGGCAAAGAAAGAAAAGCAGGGAAGGAAGTACAGTTAAGTCATTGATTCTGTTTCAAAATTACAAATAGGGACATTTGGGCAGGAGTGGAAACTGGCTTTCTCTTAAGAAATTAGAATTTTTCCCAGTTTTGTTATCAAAATAAAGAGTAAGGGGTGGGAGGGAAGATTCCCAGAGCCAGCCAGTCTAGCTATTTGTGAGGTTCAGGATCAGTGACAATCTCAAAATATAAGATTGAGAAACACATTAACAGGATAGACGATGGCTACCTCTAGCCTTCACATACTTGTGCACACATGTACAAAGCGCGCACGCACATACATACATACATACATACATACATACATACACACACACACACACACACAAACACACGCACATACTATCATGCACACACAAATACTTGCTACAGTGATACAGAGTCAAGAGCAGAAATCTCAAGTTTCTCCATAAAGCATGTGCTTGCATTTTACCTGTTGCAGAAGGCGGAGTATGGTATTGTTCTGTAGCTGTGGTACATATTGTTGCAATTCTGGTTCCTTTTCAGGTTGTTCTCTAACCCAATTTAATACCTATAAAACCAATTGAATTGAGAAAAAAAATAGTTTATATGTAGCAGACAAACGGCTCACATTCTTTCAACTACTTAATACATACACAAAACAGAATGTAATATAAAGAAACAAAATTCATCCAGACACTATCTATGCTTGTCTGAAGGTGACTGACAGCAGTGGCAACAGTAGTCATGCTGCTAATTTACCCTCAAAAGTTTGTTTAGCACATCAGAAATATCTTTTATCTTGATGGGAAGAAAAAAGACAATCAAATGTGCACTTCTCAACACATAGGGGAACACTTCTTCTTTAGACAAATACAATGCTCAACTGCAGTAATGCCTACCATGTGGTAAAGAACAAAACCTGCCCATGCCAAGGCTTACCTTTGTGACTCTCTCACAGAGTTTTAGAGGGTTGAATTCTACTTCCAGCCAGTTGTAAAGGTCTTTCACTTCTGGGACAACATACTGCAGCACATTGAATCTGACCTATAATAAGAAAGGCAAAAAGTTTAACAGCTAAAGGAAATTTTCCAGCAGAGATTCTGAAGTACAAATTAAAATTAGAAATGTATCTGAACTCAGTTCCCTATAAATTTACCAAATACTATAATTATTCCATATTGTTTCTAGCTATAATTAACAAGCCAAATAAACTTGAAAAGAGAATAATCTGTAAGGCAACATACAGTATTTACAAAGACAATTACAATGGACAGCACAAATTATATATCCAAAAATGCAAAATAACAGAGCTTTTTAAATATTTTGGGGGGGTGGTTTTGAGATAGGGTTTCTCGGTATAGTTATAGCTGTCCTCTCTACTGACTGTCTACCTGCTCTGTAGACCAGGCTGGCCTTGAACTCAGGGATCCACCTGCTTCTGCCTCCCAACTGCTGGGATTAAAGGAGTGTGCCACCATAGCCTGACAACAAATTTTTCTTATATGAAGTACCACAAAAATTACCAGGACAGTTCTATTCTCAGGACCAAACTGAGAATAGTTTGGTCCCTTAACAGAACAGTATTATGTCCATTTAACAGCTCTGGTCCCCTGTATCATCAGGTTCCACATACACACTCATATTTAGATAATATTCAAAAAATATTACATATGTCTGAAATGCTTTCTTCTTATCAACTAAACAACATGGCAAATGTTTTTCAGAGATTATTTCAATCTAACTGGGGGTTATGCATAGATTATGTGCAAATACAACCACTACCCTACTTCAGCTTACCAGTGGGTTTTGATGTCCACTGGGATCTGAAACAATGTTCTGAACCAGGTGTAACTGAAAACCATACCTAAGGCCGGGTAGTGGTGGTGCACGCCTTTAGTCCCAGCACTCGGTACTCGGGAGGCAGAGGCAGGCAGAAGACCAGCCTGGTCTACAAGAGCTAGTTCTAGTACAGCCTCCAAAGCCACAGAGAAACCCTGTCTCAGAGAGAGAGAGAGAGAGAG